GAAGTAACAAAGGGTTGTTGTCATATGTTATGTTAACAAGAATGGACTTGTTATGGAGCGTTTCTAGGTGTTGAACACGTTACCAATACCACAACTCTCTCACTCAAGGCAACACTTGATAATTTCTTTTCAAGGCATGGATTGAGTTTTTCTAGACTGTGAGGACAAGGTTATGATGAAGCTAGTAATATGCAAGAAGAATTTAATGGTTTGAATACGTTGATTTTGAATTATAATAGATGTGTTTATTATTTTCATTTTTTTGCCCATCAACTCTAGTTGATTCTTGTGGCTTTAGCAAAGAACCATGACGATGTTAATAATCTTTTTAATATCATGGGAGTTGTGGTTAATATTGCCAGTGTTTCATTAAAGCGTTGCGGTATTCTTAGAGTTAAACAAGTTTGTAAAGTTATTGAAGCTCTTTCTAATTGTGAACTTTCAAATGGAAAAAGGTATCAATCAAGAGACTAATTTGAAATGTGTCAGTGATGCGCGTTGAGGCTTGCATTATGGTATGTTAATGAGCCTAACCTTGATGTTTTCATCCATTATCGATATTCATAAAATTGTGGCAAAAGATGGGTCAAACTCTGAGCAAAAATTTTATGCAAAAAACATATTGAAATTGATGCAATCATATGACTTTGTGTTTAGTCTATTTTTTATGAAAGATATACTTGGCTTTACAAATGAATTTTTTCAAGCACTACAAAGAAAAAATCAAGATATTGTAAATGCTATGAATTTGGTTGAAACATGTAACAAACTTTACAATTGATAAGAGATAATGGATGAGAGACTTTATTAAGCAAAGTGTGTTCTTTTTATGCCAATCACTAAATTGATGTTCCTAATATGATGATATTTTTTTTATTCAAGGGCAATTACAACGTAAGGCTCAAGGTATCACAAACGTGCATCATTACTGCATTGAATTATTTTATAATGTCCTAGATATACAGCTTCAAGAGTTGAATAATCATTTCAATAAGGTAAACATTGAATTGCTTATTTGTTTGGCATGTTTATGTCCAAATAAATCATTTGTTGCTTTTGATAAACAAAAATTGATGTGTCTTGCCGAACTTTATCCAAAAGATTTTTCTGACTTAGAATTCATGACACTTGATTCTCAACTTAATGTTTACATTTTGGATATGCACTCTAATGTCAAATTTATGGGATTGAAGATTTTGCAAAAATGATGGTTGAAACTAAGAAGGATAAAGTGTTTCCATTAGTTTATTTGTTTATGAAATTAACATTGATTTTAGCCGTTGCCACCGCTAGTTTATAGAGAGCGTTTTCAACAATGAATTTTGTGAAGATTTGTTTGCAAAATTTAATGAGTGATCAATGGTTGAATGATAGCTAGTTGTGTATATAGAGAAATATGCATTTGATAGTATTGATAGTGAAGTCATCATACAATATTTTCAAAAGATGAAATCTCATAGAGGATAATTATAAATGTACTAGTTAATGAGAATTTTATAAATAAAAACTTGTACTTATTTTAAATTAAAATTATATTATTCTTCCAACTTTGATTGCCTACATTTCATTTTTGGCTACGCCCTTGCCAGAGAAGAGATAAAGACCGAGAATGTCGTCATTTAGGTCTGCACAACATTCTATGTCCGCGAGTGCTTCCTCACAATCTTTTAGAGGAAGGAATTATGTAGCATGGGGACATTTTAGGACATTGATCAAAATGGAGGGAAGATATTAACATGTTTATATTGTGGCAAGGTAACTAAAGGGAGGGGTATCTATCGAATAAAACTACATCTAGCACAAATAAAAGGGGAAGTTGGAAAGTGCGCAAAAGCTCCTTATGATGTTAGAGTCTAGATGCAAGAGGCACTAAAAGAAATTGAGGTAAAGAATAAAGGAAAAATTGAGTTTCGTAAGTATGCAAATCTTTATTGCGCTAGTGTCCATGGATTTGAGGGGATATGTTAGGCGAAGATTGTGAAGAGGTCCCTCTATCAGAAATGACCATGAATTAAGGTGTTACTAGTAGTAAAAAGTAATGTACAAGCACTAAAGGAAATAGACTTGTTGGGATTATAAATTATTTTGCTTTGAGACTACTCCTAAGTCTCAACTCTCAATTAAGAGTGTTTTGGTAGGAAAAAAAGCTACGTGGATTGAAGTCATGGCTTTTGCAAGGTTTTTTTTTATGATGCTTGCATCCCTATTAATGTTATAAATTCAATTTATCATCAGCCTTTTGTGAATGTTATAGCTACAATGGGTCCTAAGTATAAACACCCAACTTATCATGCTATACGTGTTAGTTTATTGACAGATGCTAAGAAGGAAGTGTAGTTACTTGTTGACAGTTATAGGAGCACTTGGGAAGATGTTGGATGGACATTGATGGCTAATGGATGGACTGATAATTCACATAGGTCATTGATTAATTTTCTTGGGTATAGTATCAGTGGATGTTTCAGATGTTGTAAAAGACGCCGAGACACTATTCAAATTGTTTGAGGAAATTGCTTTATGGATTTGACCAAAAAATATTGTCCATGTTGTCACAGACAATGGATCAAAATATAAAGTTGTTGGAAGAAACTATTAATTGATCGTCTTGTGCAACACATTACATAAATTTGATGTTAAAAGATATGGCTAAGATGGATATCATAGTTAGACAAAGTTTTTATTTTTTTTATTTTTTTTATTTTTATGACCAGGAGTGTTCGGAACAGTTCACGCACACCTCAACTAATCCCCGAGACCTTGAAACTACCAGCTAGTTCCAATGACNTGTTGTCACAGACAATGGATCAAAATATAAAGTTGTTGGAAGAAACTATTAATTGATCGTCTTGTGCAACACATTACATAAATTTGATGTTAAAAGATATGGCTAAGATGGATATCATAGTTAGACAAAGTTTTTATTTTTTTTATTTTTTTTATTTTTATGACCAGGAGTGTTCGGAACAGTTCACGCACACCTCAACTAATCCCCGAGACCTTGAAACTACCAGCTAGTTCCAATGACTATCTTCATTAGCAATTGAGGAGGAATTCGAACTCATGACCTCTTAAGTAATACATTCAAAAGTCCTTATCGGACCACTCGGCCTTCCATGTTTTATATGATCAAACCTTGTTATAAAATATTTAATCTATTTTAATTTTATCCTTAGTAAATAAAATATGAGATCTATTAAATGAACAATGTTACACATCCAAATTAAGAGCTTTGGATCCTAACAAAGTTACATTAATTATAAAAAAATAAAATTTTATCACATCAACCTTTAATTAATGTAATACTGACGCAATAGCAGTTACCTTAATTTGGATCAAAATTTATATATAATAATATTGAAATTAGATATAGGGTATCAATAACATTCCTCTTTATTAAATTTCATTTTTTAGTGTTTCATAATGCATGTGATATTATTTACATAAATAGTGTTTTGAAAATGAAAATGGTGAAAAATTGCTTGCATAATTGACTAAAAATGACAAGACTATTCATAAAGTAATTAAATAACTGAGACACAATCGCATAACAATATTACACAAATTTTGTATGACCAAAATTAGAATAAAAGAGAAATTAAATAAAATTAGCTAAATTCTAACCGCCATTTTACGTAATAAAAACAATTTTATGAACGACATATTTTAAAGATCTTGGCGGGTAATGATATCAAAAGTGAAAATTCTTCCCGCCATTTGTTTTATGTCATTTAAATTATGTCAATTGAATAATAATTTCCCAAATTTGCTTCATCTAAGTTATTAACAGAGGCAGCTTATGAAGTCTCTGGATCGGATTTCACTCTGAGTTGACTCGATACTCACTGAGTCACTCGTTCTTTCTTTTTTTATTTGTAAAGCGCCGAAGTTATAATTGTTACTGTTTATTTGGCGGTTTCCGAAGGGAGTGGTAAATCCTGTGAAAGCACATCCATTTTGAATTTTTTCCAATCGATTTGATTTTGGCTGATATTCGCAAGATTTGAGGGGCCTATTTAAATAAATCCTCATCTCTGATCTCTAAAATTTTATCTTGATTTGGAGTTTAAATTAAATATATAATAAGCAGGTAATGAAAAGTTCAAATGAAAATGTAGTATAAATGAAAATGCAGTATATATCCAAAGGGATACTTTAGTTGAATATTTGTATAAGCCATTCTACTTCGATTTCTGAAATTAATAATTTTAATATAAACACAAAAAAAGTCATTGAATTACCCCTAAACTATCATAATATTTGTTCGTTTGATTTGTCATTCAAAAATAATTTTCAAAAATTAAAACTTGATTCAAATTTTTTAAGTTATATTTCAATATTTGAAAATGTGATTGATATAATATTAATTTTTTTCAGATCAGAAACTATAGAATATTTTGAAAACGATTTTTAGTTATTTTACAATTTTATACTAGTTTTTAGGATTTTATTTGAAAATTGTTTTAGAAAACAATTTGACTCATTTTAAATTTTTAATCAAACGCATTTTCATAAGATTTATTATATTTATTATTTTCAAAAGCAAAAAATTGTATTTAAATTATACATCAAAGAGGGTTGACTTAGCATATAATAACTGTTTTTTTTGTATAGTTTTTACAGTTTTTTTTTTTTCGGTAATAACAATTTCATTATTTAAAATATTATTGGTATTGATTTATGATATTAAATGTAAGACTTGTAACATTGAGCATGAAGACAGTAACATGGAACAAAAAAATTATAGCATTTACTATATCACTCTTGATTTACAATAATGCTACACGTATGTAGAGAGCCTACATGAAGATGCCCTCACCAGAGCATTACTATTATTTTTTTTAATTCAAAAATTCTTCCACTCCATAAAAATATTTTCCACAACTCGAACGAGTCAGAACACCGAGTTTACGAGTCAAGAGTCGAAAACTCAAAACTACCACGAGTAGTTTAACTCGGTACATCAAGCATGGAGAGGCTTTCTTTTTAGGGTTTCTCTCCCCTCCACAAACACAAAAACAGAGAGCATAAAAGACATATCTGTAATGGCGGTTATCAAACCCTAACAAGGTAAAACCTCTCTCTGTGTTTCTCTCCAAACAAATAGAAATATAAATCAACGTATACATATAAAAATCGTTCAATCTATCACTCTATTTCTCCACTTACCACTCGATCACTCTCGATTTCGAAAAAAATCGATTCTAATCCCTATCTATCTCTCGGAACACAGAATTTTATGAAATTTGGTTTTCCAGCAGTTAGTTTAACTAACTGTTGATTTATTTGTCTTGATTTGTTTCATAGGATCTGTGAAGATTCTGGATCTCCGAGTTATTGAAACGAAGCATTAATCGTGTCTGCAGCAAATTGTTCGATTTTTTGGAACATAGAGTTATTTATAGTGAATTTAGTTGAATCTAGGGTTTCGATTTGATTTGATTTGTTATCGATCTAATGGAGGTTAAGGTGAGTAGACCTAGGGGTAGACCGAGGAAAAGAAAGAGACCAGAGGATGAAAATGTTGTGGTCACGGATAAGAGACGCGGTTTTGTTGAGGTGAAACCAATTCCGTTAGTTGGTAGATATGTGCTGAAAGAATTTGCGGGAAATGGTATATATTTAGGGAAAATTGTTTATTATGAGAGTGGATTGTATAGAGTGGATTATGAGGATGGTGATTGTGAGGATTTGGATAGCAGTGAGCTACGTCAGTTCCTTGTAGGTGAAAAAGATTTTGATGATGAACTAAGTAGAAGAAGGGTGAAACTAGATGAATGGATCTTGAAAAGGAGTGTCAAGAAGAAGCAGGATGATATAGAGAAGAAAGATAGGGATTTAAAATGTGAGGTGGACAAGGTAGAAGTTTCTGTTCTGAGTGACGTGAGTGGCAGATTGATGGTTGATGACGATGAGGAACTAGTTGAAGGTGATGTGGATTCGTCAAGTGATTCGTGTGAGCATGTGCGTGACATGGATGCCAGTTTGGAGGCTGAAGCCCCACATATTCCTCCTCTTCAACTGCCACCATCTTCGGGGACTATTGGTGTGCCAGAGGAGTATGTTTCACAACTTTTTTCAGTATATGGGTTCTTGAGGTCTTTTGGTATTCGACTGTTTTTGAGCCCATTTGGATTGGATGATTTTGTTGGGTCACTAAATTGTTGTGTTCCAAACACATTGATGGATTCCATTCATGTGGCTTTGATGCGTGTGTTGAAGCGTCATCTTGAAGCACTCTCTTCTGATGGCTCAGAGCTTGTATCAAATTGCTTCAGGTAATATATATATATTTGTTAGTATATCAGCGTGTTAATATGAGTGCACTTATTGGAAATGATGTTTTTCATTAGTGTTTGTAGTTGAGTATAATATATAACTGGTTACTAAAATAGAATGTATGCACTGGTTAGATTTTGAATGTTTTGGATCTTTAGAAAAAAATACTGTAACTCTTACTTGTGCAGATTACTTTGACCGTATGATTGAAGTGCTTTTTGTTTTTCATTCTTAGAACGAGAATGTGTCAGCTTTAAAAAGTTTTTACATAGCATTATTTTTATCCCAATAACATAGATTTGTGTTAGATGCATTTTTTTTTTTTTTTTTAAATGAGGAATCATTCTTTATGCAGGTGCATGGATTGGAGCTTGCTTGATACATTGACTTGGCCTGTTTATGTAGTCCAGTATCTCACCTTAATGGGATACACAAAAGGACCTGAGTGGAAAGGATTCTACAACGATGCTTTAGAGAGGGAGTATTATTCCTTATCTACAGGAAGGAAGTTGATGATTTTACAAATCTTGTGTGACGATGCATTAGATTGTGGAGAAATACGAGCTGAAATTGACATGCGTGAAGAATCAGAAGTTGGGATAGACCCTGATGCAGTTGTAACTAATGCTCCAGAAAATGGACCCAGAAGGGTCCATCCTAGGTATTCCAAAACTTCAGCTTGCAAGGGTAGAGAGGCTGTGGAGATCATTGCAGGAAGCAATGAGACAAAGTCTGCTTGTAAAGCAGGGGACGTCGATGCTCCTGACGATGATGTGGATGGGAATGGTGATGAATGCTGCATTTGTGGCATGGATGGAACTTTGCTTTGCTGTGATGGTTGCCCGTCGGCATACCATACAAGATGTATAGGTGTTGCCAAAATGTATATACCAGAAGGCTCATGGTATTGCCCGGAGTGCACAATAAATAAGACGGGTCTGATTATCACTATGGGAACATCACTTAGAGGAGCAGAAGTTTTTGGCATTGATTCATATGAGCAAGTCTTCTTGGGTACATGCAATCACTTAATGGTGTATGTTTTCTACACCTTTTTACATCCTACCCCTTTTTGTAGACTACATTATTTATTTAATTTGATGGACCTTTATGCTCTCCTTTTCTCTATGAAACATGTATCATTATACTCTATTATTGCTTTTTGCCCTTGACCTGAAATTTATATGCAACTCTGTCTTTATGCATTATTCTGGACTTCATGGTTTTTTATTTATTTTTCCCTGAAACATGTCTAAGTGCCTTGTATGCTGTTTTGCAATTGATAATTGCAGGCTCAGTACATCCAATAACACTGAACCATATTTTAGATACTACAATCCCTTTGACATCCCAATGGTCCTGCAAGTGCTTTTATCATCTGCACAACATATATCATCGTACTCAGGAATATGCAAGGCAATTCTACAGTATTGGGGCATCCCAGAAGGTGTCATTGATCCCATGGGAGTGATAAAGGCAGATGAAAAGTTTTGTAGTCTATCACCTCATCCTCCTGTCAAGGAAAGCTGTGGAGTTACAGATATGGTTGAAGCTGAGAATGCATGTAGTAACAATGGAAGTAATTTAGATAATGTGGCAGTTTCAAGTTTAGGTACTTCTGTGGACACAATGACCCAACCCAACCTTCCTGTTGGTCAGAGCAATAGTTTAACTGTAACAGAAAAAACAAATATGAAGCTACATGGACATATTAAGATGGAGTCTGCCATGTCTACTGGTTCGATCACCCAGCAAGCTGAACCATCTGATCTAACCTACCAAAGCTTGGTCGACAGGTCAAGTGCAATAGACTTTATGACGTGCACCTCACGAATCAGTAATGAGAGTTATAACAGGCATGAAAGCTCATGCTTACCGGCAAATATGTTCTTCCAAAGCAAGGAAGGAAATTATGCAGGTTTTTTAAGAGGTGGAAGAAACTCTGCTGGTAATTGTGCTTACATGGGATCCAATTTCAAACCCCAGGCATATATAAACCAATATATGCATGGAGACTTTGCTGCAGCTGCTGCAGCTAAATTGGCTGTTCTTTCATCTGAGGAAAGCCAGGTTTCAGAGGCACTCAAATCAGGAAATGCCAGAAAAGTTATCTCTGGTAGCATTTTAATGCAAGCAAAAGCATTCTCGTCAACAGCCTCACGCTTTTTCTGGCCATGTCCGGAAAAGAAGCTTTGGGAGGTTCCTAGGGAGAGGTGTAGTTGGTGTTATTCTTGTAAAGCCCCAGCTTCAAGCAGGAGAGGATGCATGTTGAATTCAGCTATCACAATTGCCACTAAAGGTGCTATGAAGTTTTTTAATGGTCTTCATCCCCCGAAGATTGGGGAGGGGAGTCTTCCTACTATTGCAGCATACATATTATACATGGAGGAGAGCTTATGTGGTCTTATGAAGGGCTCCTTTGTGAGTTCAAGTTATAGAAATAGATGGCGTAAACAAGTTCAAGAAGCTTCTACATTCAATTTGTTAAAAGGCCTCTTACTTGAAGTGAGTCTTTCTTCTTTAACCCCCTAATTTCTTGGCATACTTAATTATTAAAACAGGCATTTTGCATGAACTAGTTTAGCTTTTTATTATTGTTTGAGGTTCCTGCTTATTTTATAAGTAGGTGCCTATTTTTATTCAGTTTGATAGAATGTTTTCTTTTTCCAAAGATGAGGCATATATTTTTGGCAACAATCTTCTTGTCCTCAGTCATGTCAAAAGTTTGATCTTTTCCCTTGGAAGGCATATTACATTCTTTATGCATATGCTTTATGTATGTTGCATTTTATGATGTCATGATCTTCATTTGCAGCTTGAGGAAAACATCTGCCTTATCGCTCTTTCTGGGGACTGGATTAAGTTGATGGATGATTGGCTGGTGGACTCTACCATGATTCAAAGTGCTTCATGCAATGTTGGAACAACAAGGAAACGTGGACCCAGTCGGAAGCGAGGTCGGAAACAATCTGGTGTATCAGAAGATACAGCTGATGATTCCAATGACCAAAGTTTCAGCTGGTGGCAAGGGGGGAAGTCAGCAGATGTTATATTCCAGAAAGCAATTTTGCCACGTTCAATGGTTAGAAATGCAGCTCGCCGAGGTAACTTCTGTACTGCACAGAAATGTTGACAAATTTTGTTCCACTATTCATTGCAGGCATCTTTCATCAATAATTTTCATATTTTATATTAAATAGGGAGAAAACTAATACTCATGATTTTTGGCTTATCAGGTGGTGTGAGAAAATTTTCCAATGTTAATTATGGTGATGGTTCTGAGTTTCCTAAAAGAAGCAGGCAGTTGTTTTGGAGAGCTGCAGTGGAAAGGAGTAAGACTGCTTCGCAGCTTGCACTTCAGGTTTGTCATTGTTTATATTATGTGATTTCATTCATTTTATATTCTTCATCCTCAATTTGTTTTAGCGTTGTCACTTTGGTCTGACTACATAATTGATTTCTCTGGTTGTATTTCTGAAATTGAAGGTATTTGGAATTTTTGCATCAGGTTAGATATGTGGACCTTCATGTTAGATGGAGCGATCTTGTCCGTCCCGACCAGAATCTCCAGGATGGAAAGGGTCCAGAGACAGAAGCTTCTGCTTTCCGAAATGCAATTATTTGCGATAAGAAAATTGTGGAAAACAAGATCAGATATGGAGTTGTTTTTGGGAATCAAAAGCATCTTCCTTCACGTGTTATGAAGAATATCATTGAAATAGAGCAAAATCAAAATGGAAAGGAGAAGTATTGGTTTCCTGAAACTCGCATTCCCTTATATCTGATCAAAGAGTATGAAGAAAGCAAGGATAAGGTTATTTTTCCATCAGCAAAGAAGCCGTCAGATGAATTGTCTGAGTTGCAGAAAAAGCAGTTGAAAGCTTCCCGAAAAGACATGTTTTCCTATCTTGTCTGTAAGAGGGATAAGCTGGAGAAGTGTGCTTGTGCTTCATGTCATCTGGATGTTTTACTTGGGTAATTATTTTGTTTTATTTTACATCTTTCACTGTTTTGGTTCTTCCCACCTACTTGCTCTATGCTCATTAGTCTTTCTCTGGTGTAATTTTCAGGAATGCGGTCAAGTGCAGTGCATGCCAAGGTATAATAATTACTAAGCTTCCATTTTTACTTTCAGAATTCTCTTTAGATTCCCAGTTGTTAATCTATGCTTGCTTGTGCGTTTTAATATCCATTTCAAAGAGTGTGCCTATAATGTAAATATCGGAAGTTTTGGAATTTGCCACATGACATCCAATTATTACCCTCCTTTCTTCTACAACTACTTTGATTGACTGTCTAAATTTACCTTCTGTTCTGTCTATCAAGGATTACTAAAGAATAGGGCATGCTTTTCTGAGATATTGTTTTATCTACAAAATGTAAAATTGCTTTTTTTTTTTTTTTAAATGAGGAATCATTCTTTATGCAGGTGCATGGATTGGAGCTTGCTTGATACATTGACTTGGCCTGTTTATGTAGTCCAGTATCTCACCTTAATGGGATACACAAAAGGACCTGAGTGGAAAGGATTCTACAACGATGCTTTAGAGAGGGAGTATTATTCCTTATCTACAGGAAGGAAGTTGATGATTTTACAAATCTTGTGTGATGATGCATTAGATTGTGGAGAAATACGAGCAGAAATTGACATGCGTGAAGAATCAGAAGTTGGGATAGACCCTGATGCAGTTGTAACTAATGCTCCAGAAAATGGACCCAGAAGGGTCCATCCTAGGTATTCCAAAACTTCAGCTTGCAAGGGTAGAGAGGCTGTGGAGATCATTGCAGGAAGCAATGAGACAAAGTCTGCTTGTAAAGCAAGGGATGTCGATGCTCCTGATGATGATGTGGATGGGAATGGTGATGAATGCTGCATTTGTGGCATGGATGGAACCTTGCTTTGCTGTGATGGGTGCCCTTCGGCGTACCATACAAGATGTATAGGTGTTGCCAAAATGTATATACCAGAAGGCTCATGGTATTGCCCGGAGTGCACAATAAATAAGACGGGTCTGATTATCACTATGGGAACATCACTTAGAGGAGCAGAAGTTTTTGGCATTGATTCATATGAGCAAGTCTTCTTGGGTACATGCAATCACTTAATGGTGTATGTTTTCTACACCTTTTTACATCCTACCCCTTTTTGTAGACTACATTATTTATTTAATTTGATGGACCTTTATGCTCTCCTTTTCTCTATGAAACATGTATCATTATACTCTATTATTGCTTTTTGCCCTTGACCTGAAATTTATATGCAACTCTGTCTTTATGCATTATTCTGGACTTCATGGTTTTTTATTTATTTTTCCCTGAAACATGTCTAAGTGCCTTGTATGCTGTTTTGCAATTGATAATTGCAGGCTCAGTACATCCAATAACACTGAACCATATTTTAGATACTACAATCCCGTTGACATCCCAATGGTCCTGCAAGTGCTTTTATCATCTGCACAACATGTATCATCGTACTCAGGAATATGCAAGGCAATTCTACAGTATTGGGGCATCCCAGAAGGTGTCATTGATCCCATGGGAGTGATAAAGGCAGATGAAAAGTTTTGTAGTCTATCACCTCATCCTCCTGTCAAGGAAAGCTGTGGAGTTACAGATATGGTTGAAGCTGAGAATGCATGTAGTAACAATGGAAGTAATTTAGATAATGTGGCAGTTTCAAGTTTAGGTACTTCTGTGGACACAATGACCCAACCCAACCTTCCTGTTGGTCAGAGCAATAGTTTAACTGTAACAGAAAAAACAAATATGAAGCTACATGGACATATTAAGATGGAGTCTGCCATGTCTACTGGTTCGATCACCCAGCAAGCTGAACCATCTGATCTAACCTACCAAAGCTTGGTCGACAGGTCAAGTGCAATAGACTTTATGACGTGCACCTCACGAATCAGTAATGAGAGTTATAACAGGCATGAAAGCTCATGCTTACCGGCAAATATGTTCTTCCAAAGCAAGGAAGGAAATTATGCAGGTTTTTTAAGAGGTGGAAGAAACTCTGCTGGTAATTGTGCTTACATGGGATCCAATTTCAAACCCCAGGCATATATAAACCAATATATGCATGGAGACTTTGCTGCAGCTGCTGCAGCTAAATTGGCTGTTCTTTCATCTGAGGAAAGCCAGGTTTCAGAGGCACTCAAATCAGGAAATGCCAGAAAAGTTATCTCTGGTAGCATTTTAATGCAAGCAAAAGCATTCTCGTCAACAGCCTCACGCTTTTTCTGGCCATGTCCGGAAAAGAAGCTTTGGGAGGTTCCTAGGGAGAGGTGTAGTTGGTGTTATTCTTGTAAAGCCCCAGCTTCAAGCAGGAGAGGATGCATGTTGAATTCAGCTATCACAATTGCCACTAAAGGTGCTATGAAGTTTTTTAATGGTCTTCATCCCCCGAAGATTGGGGAGGGGAGTCTTCCTACTATTGCAGCATACATATTATACATGGAGGAGAGCTTATGTGGTCTTATGAAGGGCTCCTTTGTGAGTTCAAGTTATAGAAATAGATGGCGTAAACAAGTTCAAGAAGCTTCTACATTCAATTTGTTAAAAGGCCTCTTACTTGAAGTGAGTCTTTCTTCTTTAACCCCCTAATTTCTTGGCATACTTAATTATTAAAACAGGCATTTTGCATGAACTAGTTTAGCTTTTTATTATTGTTTGAGGTTCCTGCTTATTTTATAAGTAGGTGCCTATTTTTATTCAGTTTGATAGAATGTTTTCTTTTTCCAAAGATGAGGCATATATTTTTGGCAACAATCTTCTTGTCCTCAGTCATGTCAAAAGTTTGATCTTTTCCCTTGGAAGGCATATTACATTCTTTATGCATATGCTTTATGTATGTTGCATTTTATGATGTCATGATCTTCATTTGCAGCTTGAGGAAAACATCTGCCTTATCGCTCTTTCTGGGGACTGGATTAAGTTGATGGATGATTGGCTGGTGGACTCTACCATGATTCAAAGTGCTTCATGCAATGTTGGAACAACAAGGAAACGTGGACCCAGTCGGAAGCGAGGTCGGAAACAATCTGGTGTATCAGAAGATACAGCTGATGATTCCAATGACCAAAGTTTCAGCTGGTGGCAAGGGGGGAAGTCAGCAGATGTTATATTCCAGAAAGCAATTTTGCCACGTTCAATGGTTAGAAATGCAGCTCGCCGAGGTAACTTCTGTACTGCACAGAAATGTTGACAAATTTTGTTCCACTATTCATTGCAGGCATCTTTCATCAATAATTTTCATATTTTATATTAAATAGGGAGAAAACTAATACTCATGATTTTTGGCTTATCAGGTGGTGTGAGAAAATTTTCCAATGTTAATTATGGTGATGGTTCTGAGTTTCCTAAAAGAAGCAGGCAGTTGTTTTGGAGAGCTGCAGTGGAAAGGAGTAAGACTGCTTCGCAGCTTGCACTTCAGGTTTGTCATTGTTTATATTATGTGATTTCATTCATTTTATATTCTTCATCCTCAATTTGTTTTAGCGTTGTCACTTTGGTCTGACTACATAATTGATTTCTCTGGTTGTATTTCTGAAATTGAAGGTATTTGGAATTTTTGCATCAGGTTAGATATGTGGACCTTCATGTTAGATGGAGCGATCTTGTCCGTCCCGACCAGAATCTCCAGGATGGAAAGGGTCCAGAGACAGAAGCTTCTGCTTTCCGAAATGCAATTATTTGCGATAAGAAAATTGTGGAAAACAAGATCAGATATGGAGTTGTTTTTGGGAATCAAAAGCATCTTCCTTCACGTGTTATGAAGAATATCATTGAAATAGAGCAAAATCAAAATGGAAAGGAGAAGTATTGGTTTCCTGAAACTCGCATTCCCTTATATCTGATCAAAGAGTATGAAGAAAGCAAGGATAAGGTTATTTTTCCATCAGCAAAGAAGCCGTCAGATGAATTGTCTGAGTTGCAGAAAAAGCAGTTGAAAGCTTCCCGAAAAGACATGTTTTCCTATCTTGTCTGTAAGAGGGATAAGCTGGAGAAGTGTGCTTGTGCTTCATGTCATCTGGATGTTTTACTTGGGTAATTATTTTGTTTTATTTTACATCTTTCACTGTTTTGGTTCTTCCCACCTACTTGCTCTATGCTCATTAGTCTTTCTCTGGTGTAATTTTCAGGAATGCGGTCAAGTGCAGTGCATGCCAAGGTATAATAATTACTAAGCTTCCATTTTTACTTTCAGAATTCTCTTTAGATTCCCAGTTGTTAATCTATGCTTGCTTGTGCGTTTTAATATCCATTTCAAAGAGTGTGCCTATAATGTAAATATCGGAAGTTTTGGAATTTGCCACATGACATCCAATTATTACCCTCCTTTCTTCTACAACTACTTTGATTGACTGTCTAAATTTACCTTCTGTTCTGTCTATCAAGGATTACTAAAGAATAGGGCATGCTTTTCTGAGATATTGTTTTATCTACAAAATGTAAAATTTAAAAAAAAAAAAAAAAAAAACTATATCATTAAAAATCTGAAAAGGTTTTAGAAGAAGTTTATTAGTGCCTTTATGTATTGATGGATTATGTTATGAAATGCTGAAATCATCTGGCCTAAAAAAGACAGTTTGTAAAAGACCCTAATGGGGAAACTTTGCTATTTGCTACATTGGCTTTAATTGGAATATAATGGGCCTGTTTAATTTGTGATTTAAAAAAGTAATAAAAAAATTATACAAGACAAAAAGTTGAGTTGTATTTTTAATATTTTTAAAATCTAAAAATACATCTGATATAATATTTATTTATTTTTGGAAATATCATTGGTATAGTATCTTAAAACAGTGAAAATTTGGATATTTATTTGGTTAACATGTTGTTAGAAACACTTTTCTTCCAAATATCTTTTATTAACATAATCATAACATTTAACAAAATGAAATATGATTGGTACATTATACTGAACTGAGCATAGTCATGAGTGTTTTTATAGATTATAATTATGTAATAGTATTTAGACTAAATTTATTATATAGGTTCCACTGTAATTTTATAATATTTGGCTTTTTAATATGTAGGTACTATTGTTATATTATAGTAAAATACAAACATTTACTATATACTTACTTAAATAAATTGTAATTTCCTATGTATTTTTATGATTTAAAATCAATCTAATGAGAATACTGAAGATGAATGAATATTTAAGTGGTGTAATATTAGTCTTTAATATTTAATAAAATGTGAGAGATATAAGAATCAACATAATATTTAGGTGTACATCATATAGAAGTTCTTATTTTGTTTTGTGGACAGGTTATTGTCATGAGGGTTGTACTTTAAGTTCAATGTACATGAATGGTGAAGTGGAGCCCTTGATCACCTGCAACCAGTGTTATCATGTCAAATTTCTTGCCCCGAGTCTAGTTCGCAGTGAGTCTCCAACTAGTCCCTTGCCCTTGCAACGGCAAGAATATCAAACTGCTATGACGGTCACTAAAGCAACACGACCTAATGCTTTTAGCCAACCTTTAGCATGTGTTAAAACTGAGGAGAGTGTTACTGATGTTAAGCAAACTACTTCTAATTCTAATTTGGCAACGAAAACCCGAAGTAGAACATTGTCTTGGGGAATCATATGGAAGAAAAAGAACATTGAAGATAAAGGTGCTGATTTCAGGCGTGCAAACATTCTCCTAAGGGGTAGCTCAGATGTACAAGGTTTAGGGCCTGTTTGTGATCTGTGTCAACTGCCGTACAACTCTGATCTGATGTATATTCACTGTGAAACTTGCGAAAGTAAGTTGCTTTATTCAATAGGTGCAATATGTTTTAAAAGGTGTATACTATCCTTATATTTACATTGGCACATTCGGTCTGTGATTATCTGCAGGGTGGTTTCATGCTGAAGCTGTTGAACTTGAGGAGTCAAAGCTTTCTGATGTAGTAGGTTTCAAGTGTTGCAAATGTCGTAGGATTGGTGGACCTGAGTGTCCCTACATGGATCCTGAACTCAAGGAAAAAAAGCGCAAGAACCGTCGCTTGAGGGCTCAAAAGCAGGGACAAGGCGCTATGAAGATGGAATCTGAGTTTGGCACCCCTTCTGAATCTAAGGAGTGTAAACCCACTACTCCAATGTATCCCATGGAGGAAGTATTTGTACCAAACACTGATCCTCTCCTTTTCTCTCTTTCAAAAGTTGAGCTTATCAAAGAGCCCAATTCAGAAGTGGGTTTTGGATGGAATGCTGCTGGGCCAGGGCCGCAAAAACTTCCAGTCAGAAGGCATGTGAAATGCGAAGAGGATGTTGATGGTAGTTCTATTGGGAATTATCTTTCTCAAGCTGAATTATCTATGCATTTTGAATCAAATAACGTCATGAACCCAGAGGAACCTTCAGTTCCGTGTGTGGGATGGGATACTTCTGCCAATGGCCTTGAAGGAGAGATGCTGTTTGACCTTGGAGGTCTTAGCTATGAAGATATGGAGTTCGAACCCCAAACCTACTTTTCTTTTTCAGAGTTGCTAGCAACAGATGAGGGTGGTACTTTGGATGGAACTGATACCTCTGGGGTTGTGCCTGGAAACCAGGAAGATATTTCTTTTTCAATTTCACAGGATATACTCCCAGAACATGGAATGGGTACATCTAATGATAAACATTCAAATTCAACTGTTGGTACAATGCATTGTCGAATTTGTTCAGATATGACAGAATCCCCTGATCTCTCATGCAAGGTTTGTGGGTTTTTGATACATCGCCGTTGTTCTCCTTGGGATGAGTCCTGTCACACAGAAGGAAGTTGGAGATGTGGGAATTGTCGAGAGTGGCGATAGCTGACTCCTTGTTTTTTAAAGGTTTTGTGGTGTTCTGTTTTTTCACACAGAGGGAGTGTTGTTTGATGACGATATGACGATCTGCAAGAATGTGGTTGAGCTGGCCTTACAAACGGAAATTGTACATCATTCTGAGGAAGAATGATGATCAACAGCTTAAATTATCTTCTCCTTGGGTGTTGAAATGGGAGAAATTTTGAAAACGCCAAGCGGTTTTTGCAGTTATATACATGGCTCCACTTGTCACGGCACTGGATATGAACTTTACTCTGACTGAATCAGTAAGTTCATGGAGATGCATTTTGTCATTTGGTGAAAGAAGTTGGGAGTTTTTACTCCCAATATTGGCCGTGTTAGTGGTGAAAATTATTTGTGGTGGGAAGTGGGAACAGTAGGAGTATTTCACAGGCTTAAAAGGTGATGTAGGTTGGTAAGGTAAGCATGCCTTTTTGTATTGTGCTTATCTGGTTGCATTGCATTGCTTGTACAAAAATTCGAAATTCCGTGGTATTTTTTGTTGAGATGAGATTATCAAAGATTAATAGAGCTACTTAACTATACAATTTAGCTTTCACACATGCCAAAGATCAATTTATATTTTCTACTAGTCTCCAATTGAATTGCTTTACCCTCACGATCAAACAAATCGGTAAATGTAATCCAACCCGAATACAAGGCTATATTAGTATATTTCGCCCCAAAACTTGGTATTGTATCTTGCATTATAGGACATATATAATATTATAAAAGTAAATGATATCAATTTAATTCTTCAAATTATTATCAAAACAATAATCTGGCCTAAAAAAAGACAGTTTGTAAAGGACCCTAATGGGGAAACTTTGCTATTTGCTACATTGGCTTTAATTGGAATATAATGGGCCTGTTTAATTTGTGATTTAAAAAAGTAATAAAAAAATTATACAAGACAAAAAGTTGAGTTGTATTTTTAATATTTTTAATATCTAAAAATACATCTGATATAATATTTATTTATTTTTGGAAATATCATTGGTAAAGTATCTTAAAACAGTGAAAATTTGGATATTTATTTGGTTAACATGTTGTTAGAAACACTTTTCTTCCAAATATCTTTTATTAACATAATCATAACATTTAACAAAATGAAATATGATTGGTACATTATACTGAACTGAGCATAGTCATGAGTGTTTTTATAGATTATAATTATGTAATAGTATTTAGACTAAATTTATTATATAGGTTCCACTGTAATTTTATAATATTTGGCTTTTTAATATGTAGGTACTATTGTTATATTATAGTAAAATACAAACATTTACTATATACTTACTTAAATAAATTGTAATTTCCTATGTATTTTTATGATTTAAAATCAATCTAATGAGAATACTGAAGATGAATGAATATTTAAGTGGTGTAATATTAGTCTTTAATATTTAATAAAATGTGAGAGATATAAGAATCAACATAATATTTAGGTGTACATCATATAGAAGTTCTTATTTTGTTTTGTGGACAGGTTATTGTCATGAGGGTTGTACTTTAAGTTCAATGTACATGAATGGTGAAGTGGAGCCCTTGATCACCTGCAACCAGTGTTATCATGTCAAATTTCTTGCCCCGAGTCTAGTTCGCAGTGAGTCTCCAACTAGTCCCTTGCCCTTGCAACGGCAAGAATATCAAACTGCTATGACGGTCACTAAAGCAACACGACCTAATGCTTTTAGCCAACCTTTAGCATGTGTTAAAACTGAGGAGAGTGTTACTGATGTTAAGCAAACTACTTCTAATTCTAATTTGGCAACGAAAACCCGAAGTAGAACATTGTCTTGGGGAATCATATGGAAGAAAAAGAACATTGAAGATAAAGGTGCTGATTTCAGGCGTGCAAACATTCTCCTAAGGGGTAGCTCAGATGTACAAGGTTTAGGGCCTGTTTGTGATCTGTGTCAACTGCCGTACAACTCTGATCTGATGTATATTCACTGTGAAACTTGCGAAAGTAAGTTGCTTTATTCAATAGGTGCAATATGTTTTAAAAGGTGTATACTATCCTTATATTTACATTGGCACATTCGGTCTGTGATTATCTGCAGGGTGGTTTCATGCTGAAGCTGTTGAACTTGAGGAGTCAAAGCTTTCTGATGTAGTAGGTTTCAAGTGTTGCAAATGTCGTAGGATTGGTGGACCTGAGTGTCCCTACATGGATCCTGAACTCAAGGAAAAAAAGCGCAAGAACCGTCGCTTGAGGGCTCAAAAGCAGGGACAAGGCGCTATGAAGATGGAATCTGAGTTTGGCACCCCTTCTGAATCTAAGGAGTGTAAACCCACTACTCCAATGTATCCCATGGAGGAAGTATTTGTACCAAACACTGATCCTCTCCTTTTCTCTCTTTCAAAAGTTGAGCTTATCAAAGAGCCCAATTCAGAAGTGGGTTTTGGTTGGAATGCTGCTGGGCCAGGGCCGCAAAAACTTCCAGTCAGAAGGCATGTGAAATGCGAAGAGGATGTTGATGGTAGTTCTATTGGGAATAATCTTTCTCAAGCTGAATTATCTATGCATTTTGAATCAAATAACGTCATGAACCCAGAGGAACCTTCAGTTCCGTGTGTGGGATGGGATACTTCTGCCAATGGCCTTGAAGGTGAGATGCTGTTTGACCTTGGAGGTCTTAGCTATGAAGATATGGAGTTCGAACCCCAAACCTACTTCTCTTTTTCAGAGTTGCTAGCAACAGATGAGGGTGGTACTTTGGATGGAACTGATACCTCTGGGGTTGTGCCTGTAAACCAGGAAGATATTTCCTTTTCAATTTCACAGGATATAGTCCCAGACCATGGAATGGGTACATCTAATGATAAACATTCAAATTCAACTGTTGGTACAATGCATTGTCGAATTTGTTCAGATATGACAGAATCCCCTGATCTCTCATGCAAGGTTTGTGGGTTTTTGACACACCGCCGTTGTTCTCCTTGGGATGAGTCCTGTCACACAGAAGGAAGTTGGAGATGTGGGAATTGTCGAGAGTGGCGATAGCTGACTCCTTGTTTTTTAAAGGTTTTGCGGTGTTCTGTTTTTTGACACAGAGGGAGTGTTGTTTGATGACGATATGACGATCTGCAAGAATGTGGTTGAGCTGGCCTTACAATTGGAAATTGTACATCATTCTGAGGAAGAATGATGATCAACAGCTTAAATTATCTTCTCCTTGGGTGTTGAAGTGGGAGAAGTTTTGAAAACGCCAAGCGGTTTTTGCAGTTATATACATGGCTCCACTTGTCACGGCACTGGATATGAACTTTACTCTGACTGAATCAGTAAGTTCATGGAGATGCATTTTGTCATTTGGTGAAAGAAGTTGGGAGTTTTTACTCCCAATATTGGCCGTGTTAGTGGTGAAAATTATTTGTGGTGGGAAGTGGGAACAGTAGGACTATTTCACAGGCTTAAAAGGTGATGTAGGTTGGTAAGGTAAGCATGCCTTTTTGTATCGTGCTTATCTGGTTGCATTGCATTGCTTGTACAAAAATTCGAAATTCCGTGGTATTTTTTGTTGAGATGAGATTATCAAAGATTAATAGAGCTACTTAACTATACAATTTAGCTTTCACACATGCCAAAGATCAATTTATATTTTCTACTAGTCTCCAATTGAATTGCTTTACCCTCACGATCAAACAAATCGGTAAATGTAATCCAACCCGAATACAAGGCTATATTAGTATATTTCGCCCCAAAACTTGGTATTGTATCTTGCATTATAGGACATATATAATATTATAAAAGTAAATGATATCAATTTAATTCTTCAAATTATTATCAAAACAATTATATGAAAACTTAAAATTACAGACGGAACAACTTAAAATTGATGTAACAATATAAAATTATTATCAGTTTTTATAGACCAATTTGTGAGATAATATATATTCATAGTGGGTTTGCCTCGATGAGATTATTCAATAAAATTTCTAATTAAATTCTTTACTTTTTTTTTTTTTTTAATATTTTCTAATTTTATCATGGTCAGCGTACATGTAATAGTTAGACTACTTCACAACACTTGCACGATAACGATATGCTTCTAAATTGAAATTATATGTACAGGAGAACCTCTATATAATGATACTCTATATATGAATAACTTTCAGATAGTAATAAAAAATTCTGGTCCTAATTTGGGTTATTTATAAATAAAAATAAATTTTATATTATAATAAATTATAATTTTTCTTGATCCCATATTAAAAACTTTGTCTTTATATAGTAATAATTATATGTATATTACAAAAAATATATGTTATGTTATATTAAAAGTTTAAGATGAAATAAAATATTTATATAAAGTTATTTGGAACAATGATTTATGTTTTAAAATTGTTACCGTATCTTTTATCTTACGGGTACGTAATAAACCGCCAGCATAAACACTTTCTTATTGAACCAAAATATTTCTAGCTCTCAAGTATGTTCAGAGCTTCTTGACATAAATTTTTTTATATTTTCGTACTATCATCCTCGGGATTATCTTCTTCTTCTTATCTAATTCAAGTAATGATTTCTTCTTTAGTTAAAATATGCACGACTTGTTGCTCATTTGGATGATTATGGAAAACATTAATATTCATTTGATTAGGATTGTAAGGTTATCGAATCTGATCACTCAATTTTACAGTGACTCTTTGATATCCATTTCCGTACTATTATAATACTACTAAAACAATGAATTAAAATTCTAATACTACTAAAACATGAATTATAAAATCAAAAATCAAAATAATAATCTTATAATTATACCTCTATTAAATTATAATCTCCTTATAATAATAAATTTAATTGGTTCCAACATTATGATTATAAAGAAGTTCTACTATAGTCTGTATGTGGATAAAATAACATAAATGCTCTATTATTTCCATCTATAATAAATTGACAAACAAATACAAACTATCACAACTGGTTCTACTTCATGCAATATCTTACAAATACTGTTTGTATATTTGTACTACAGAAACCAATCCAGTAAAACTGGGAAGAGAAAGAAAAAAAAAAAAAATGAAGAATAAGAAAAACCCTCATCCCAGAAAGACATAAAATGCTCACCAAGGCACAATCCAAAATTGTGCATAAAGAATCTCAAAATCCCGACCAACCCCTCTTCAAATTCCACTCAAAACACTAAGCCGATCACAAATTAGCTCAACCCTCTATTCCGACAGCCCCCGCATCAGGATTGATTTTCCTTATCCACCTCTTAACCGGAAGAATGGGCAGGTAGGTCGGACGTATAAATCAGGTTTACAAGTGTATATTGAACAAATTTTCACACATCAACCACAGCTACTTCATCACAGCAAACCAGCTAGCATTGCCCCAGGATCATTCGATGCTGCTGGTGTACTAGGTGGTTGGGCTACTGGAGAAACTGGCCTGGCTGGTGTACGGGGGGTTGCCATAGGAATGCTAACTAATTGCTCCTTGATGAACTCCTTCAACCTGCACAGCAACAGTCAGAGCAATTCCAAATGTTGTTTAAATATAAAGTTAGCCTATTAAGTACAGAAGACATACTCAAATGTTAGTGCAGGATCACCCGAGGCAACTGTCATACGCAACTGGGTTCTGTCTGCTGGATCTGTTTCAATTCTAATCTGTGTCAGAATAGAAAAGGCTGTCAATAATTTATTCTCTAATAGATTTACAGGAGAATTAACATAACGCATCATCTGCATTTTTTTGAGTATTTTCTTTTCTTTTAATAAGGTATTAAAATACATCAAAGAAATCAAATAGGTGCATCAATGAACCAGATAAATTCCAAAATAAATTAAAATAAAATAAAAACACAGAAATTGATTTCCCAAGTGCGTTACTCATTAACCAGAATGTTTATCTACAGTTACATATTAACCAAGGTATACGGGAGATAGATAGCTAGAAGTGAACATATTCCTTACCAAGCAGAGCATGGCCCGTGTACTCTCCGAATAAAATGTTGTGCTAGCAACCAGATTATTAGGATTAGGGTCCTGAAACAGATAATTAAACTGTGAACAAAATTTACATAATTGATAAAGGGCGGGCCAAGTCAAAAGGAAGAATGACTTACAAGTCCAGGACAAACTGTCACCCGATAACTGTTAAACAAATTAGCCATTTCAAGTAGAGGCATTGGTCGTACACCTCTCACCTGCACATTAATAGGAAAACGTTTATAAATAAAAGAAAAAAATAATTTAATGACAGAAATGTTGTTACAACAACAAAAAGAATATACAAACCACTTCTTGAAGCTTTAAAGGTGGGCCTGAAAGTGATCTCCACTGAGGGAAAAATTCTTCAGCGGATATAGTTATAGGCTGTAGAAATTTATTCAGTATAGCAGGAAGACGAAGCTTGACATTTACCTAGAAAAAAGGAAAAATATAAGAAACCAATAGGTATGCATATTACTTACTTCCAAGTTAAAAAAGACATAATAATAAACCAATATTATAACAAGTACCATATTGGTACCAAACTTGTAGGAAAAGTCAAGAACAGCGACATCCCTGCTAGGTCGGAGATTCATTATTTCAAGGGGGCATTGCACCTATTCAACCAAAAAGGAAAATATAAAATATCATGTAATAATAAAAAGAACACATAAAGTGTGGCCAGTATCCATGAAGCCAATATAAATAATATGCATAACAAGGGCTTCACCTGTGCTCGAGGAGGAATAGTTTCAGGAACTAAAGAAAGTTCCATCTTCAAATGGGCAGGAGGCAATATAATAGCTTGAACTGAAACAAGTGGAGAGGTGTTCTTGTTACCCAAGAAAAGTACTAGACGACCATGATGGCCTCGCCACTCTGCTTTAATACCAATCTGGGACACGTTTAACAAGCAAAATAAGTGTCTAATTAAAGCTTTATAAAAATAATCAAGTCAGCTCCAGGAATACATGGGAAAGCATCTGTAAGCTTAAATAGATGACTGTCAACATAAGATGTGGGGTAATAAAGAAAAGATCAAACCTGAATATAAGGATCCTCATAGAGAATACCACTATCCTTCAAGCATAATGCATGGAATCTTTCGGCAATATTTCCTATTGGCTGCAAAAGTGTACAACAGAATTAGCTAGTTAATGCAACCTAACAAGGTACAAGTTATGATTCCATTGCATAGAAGTACAAACCAAGATGTTTAGATATGATACCATGGAATCATTTCACCATAAAAAAGGATAGTTCTGCAGTTTATGTTAATGTTGCAAGGAAATTGAAAAGTACTTGGGAATTAGAAAATATAAATTTTTACTAAAAGACTTCAGGATATTCACCATAAAAGGAAAGTTCTGCAGTTTATGTTAATGTTGCAAGGAAATTGAAAAGTATTTGGTAATTAGAAAATATCAATTGTTACAAAAAGACTTCAGGATATGTTAATATCTTAACAAAATTTCATGTTATAAATTAACCTATAATGCAGGTGGCAGGAAAGAATGAAACACAGCCATACGTGAAAGAGAATATCAAAATTGTAAATTAGGAAAATTTCAGTATCCATGGGGAAAAAAAGGTGAAATTTTCTATAATAAAGTACTAGAATATACTAAATATCAGGCATTTCATGAATCCAATTTAACTAACTCCTTGAAAGTGAATAAACATGAATCACCAACAGAATTTATAACTATTAGTCCTCTGGTGCAAAAATGCTAGATTCAGAGGTGTTTGTACTAAGGAAGGATGATCAGGGAATATAGTCACAGTAGACAGGAGGGAGCCCATCTGGCAAGGTAGGCTCCAAGATAAATTTACAACCACTCCCATCTTCAGTCTTAGGACAAAAACAGAGTTCACAATGATATGACTATGCAGTACAACAATAGAAAGGGAGAAGTATAAACCTGAACAGCATTTGCCTGCTCTCCAACAGGTACAATGGCTGATCCATCCACTACAACCCCTTCCACTCCAGGGACCACATTTTGCTCAGATTGGACAGCAGGTCCAGGGGGACCTTCAATAGCCAGTGGGCCTAGAAGATCACCAAGAACATCTGCTGATGGAGGTTGAGGATCTGCTGATGGAGGCTGAGCATCTACAACGGTCAAAGTACCATTTGGCTGGCTTAATCCTGGGTCTGCTGAATGATGATCCTGTAAGGTAAAAACACAACAAATCACAATTATAACTGAAAGATGAATTTAAATAGCCTAACAAAGATTATAAGGAAGAATATGCCAATGAACTCTAGGGCTGACAAATAGATAGGCACTAACCACACTACTGCTCATGCTTGGCACCTTTACAAGGCTAAGCTGGCCAACTGGTGGGGTCCCATTGGCGGAGCTTTGATCAGTTACAACCAATGCATTTGACATCTGCTGCTGTTGGGTTCTCAACTTGATAGCACTTTGCTCTGCAGTGTCAACATCAGAATCTTCGGCCTTTTTGATCAATGCAGACTACATTTAGAGAAGATAACCGTTAGCATCAATAAAATCCAGTTGAAACCTTCAATCAAAATTAATGATGAACTATCCCCATGGTTGATAAGAATCAAACAATACCTGGCGCTCAGGGAATTTGGGCATTTCAGCCAAGATATCCATCAGAGCTGCCCCTTTTCTACTCAATGAAAAATACTC